AAGGTGGGCAAACATGTCAGTTCATGTCTCTTTACTTGAACTATTTCAAGAACCTTGGTTTGCTAATAGCGTCTTCACCAAATTTAAACCGATGTCAATTAGAACTGACATCAGCTTTTATATATTATGGAAACACACACAAATACATACGCACAGCCATGACAAATGGCAGAAAATTGAAGTATCAGTCTTGCTGACAGGGTGTAGCAAGAGATGTCAGCACAGAAAAAACAAACAAAAAAAAGGACAAAATTAATGGTATGTTAGATCATGTCCATTTGTGTCATTACTGTTGTAATCAGCAAGACTGCTTATTAAGATGATAACTGAATGGGGATGGTGGGTAGCTTTTCCTCACACCACTGCATTTTAAATTATTGTACACTGACACAACAGTGTCAGTACTAAATAATTTAATATTCTATAATTGTTATTTTTTCCAGTTACATTTACTCGTTTTAAATCAAACAGCTTGCAGAAACAAGGACTTTGTTTGCATTTTATAAATTTGTGTGTTCTTAGTGGCACAAGGATGTTTTGTGTTAAATGCTATGAGTTTTCTGGGTAAGTAAGAGAGAGATAAAACTTTATTAATCCCTCGGGTGGGTTCCTCTGGGAAATTTGTTGGTTTTTTTTTTGGTTTTTTTTTTATAGATTAGAGAGAGACATGTAAAGACATTAAGTAATCTAAGTTCATTTGTTTAGTAAAACAAGTTCTTCCGCTGTTTGTGTGCTTTGTGCGAGTGTCATAATTTTTCCAAGAACGCAAGGAAGTTAGGTCATCCAGTTTATTTGTTTAGTAAAACAAGTCCTTCTCTTGTTGCTAGGAGAATATTGAAATAAACAGGACGCATTTAAAATCTCTGCTTGTAAGCACAGTTCTGAAAAGCTGTTCACACAACACAAATATTTAATTCTGCTCAGAAAATTCTGCTTTTAAACTTATACCATCAGAGATTACATGTGTGTTTTCAAAAAAAGCTCAGTTAATTTTTTTTTTTAATTCTGCAACTCTTCCAGAAGCACCTAGATTAATGTAGTTGAGATTAATTTAGATTCATTTAACATGTTGTTGCTTTTCATGTTTTTGAAAAAGTCTTGCTCCATTTTCAGTTATTCAAAGTAAACTGAAAGTAAACGTAAAAGAAATAATATAGCTTGAGGTGTCACGGTACTGGGTCTGTGACCCAGTGTTTTGTGTTTTGTTAATTTATATTCCTTGATTATTTGTTATTCATGGTTTTGGTTCTTGTTTTCTGCTTATGTTATATTCTTAGTTTCTAGTCTCTAGGTCTCCTCTGTGAATCGCTACCTTATCGTGGTGGAGGGGTTTGTGTGTCCCAGGGATTCCAGGGGCTATGTAGTCTGGGGGCTTTTGCCCCCTGGTAGGGTCTCCCATGGCAAATTGGTCCTGGGTGAGGGACCAGACAAAGAGCGATTCAGAAGACCCTTATGAAAAGAACATCGAGGGAACAGTTTACCCTGCCCGGGATAGGGTTACCGGGGCCTCGCCCTGGCGCCCTGGAGCCAGGCCCGGGGAGGGTGTCCGAGGGCGAGCGTCTGGTTACTGGCCTTAGTCCATGGGGCCCGGCCGGGCACAGCCCGAAGAGGAGACATGGGCCCATCCTCCCGCAGGCCCACCACCCGCAGGAGGCGCCATAGGGGTCGGGTGCATTGTGTGCCGGGTGGCGGCCAGGAGCGGAGGCCCTGGCGGACTGATCCCCGGCTGCCAAGACTGGCAATAGGGACATGGAATGTCACCTCTCCTGTGGGGAAGGAGCCTGAGTTAGTGCGTGAGGTTGAGAGGTACCGGCTAGATATAGTCGGGCTCACCTCTACGCATGGCTTGGGCTCTGGAACCAGTCTCCTGGAGAGGGGCTGGACTCTGTCTCAGTCTGGAGTTGCCCCCGGTGAGACTTTACTACTTCTCTTTACTCTTTTTTTTACTTATTCCTTTGGCCTTTACTAAGTACTTCAAACATGTGGATCGAGAATGTTTTTTTTTCTCCTTGTTGCCACCGCGGAATGGGACCGAGGTGCACACAGCAGCGTTGTTTACTCCAGAGATCAGCTGATCATCCTGAAGCCAGCTGGCTTATCTGTCACAGAAGTACCAGCTGAAATCTGGAGGAAAACACACCATGGATGCAAAGGTGGAGGACAGATGGGGAGAAGGAAAGAAAAGGTGAGACAGCGAAGGCTTAAAGAGAGAAGGAAGTACAAGCTGCCATCTATTATAAGTGGGGAATTTTCGGGTGCTAGCAAACAAGATGGACAAGCTAACAGTGCTAGCGTGGAGTTAGTGTTCAGGAATGGATCTTGGCCCCTAAGTTTCTGTGAAAGGAATGCTTAATGCTTCAGTATACCAAGATATTTTGGACAATTTCATGGAGGACAGTTTGGCCCCTTACTGTTCCAAACAGGTTTGGTGTGGAAGACCATGAATGGCCTGCACAGAAGCCTGATCTCAACCTGATAGAACCCCTTTGGGATGCTTGTAGAAAGCATTCCTATAAGAGTTGAAGCTTCTATAGCTGCAGAGGGTGCAGCTAATAGAATTAAACCTAATAGAATAATTCATGGGATGTCACTCAAGTTTATATGTATGTGAAAGCGAATACATTTTGCAATATAGTGTACTTCAATCAAACTAACTATCAACTGCATTTGAATAGGGCATTAAAAGTGATTTTCAACCAAACAAAAACCAGGATATATTACTAGTTTCAATTACCCATAAAATACTCATAGATGATTGTCTGATTATGTTTTTTGTATTATTTTAGGGTCTTATAATTTAAAGCACCTTGAGGCAACTGTTGTTGTGATTTGGCCAGACCGTTCCCATTCCAACGCGTAACATACAGACAATGTGTCATTTCTTGAGGCGTCACAGAAGAACGTGAAAGGTAACCTTTCGCGTCCCTAAGATGCGCGCCAGATTGTGGATGGAATCCAATAGAATGACGCTCCCGGCGGTAACACACGTTCCAGCCTTAAATTCCAGCCCTAACCTCACCTTAATTGTATTACATAGTGTTTTCCAAAGCGATTGATGATGAGAAAATAAAATAAATGTACATGTGTAGAGTCATTCCAAATGGTTCTCATGTTTCCAAACGTGTGGCATATGGGTGAGTTGGGTGGCTGAAAACGTAACATAGGATGATTTGTCACATAGCATTGGCATGTTAAGTTTTGGGATGAGAATATGTTGGATTTGGCCCAATATAAAAAGATGGACAGTTTGTGGTTTATTCAGTGGTTTAACAAACTGCACTTATAAAACATAATCCCTAAGCAAAGAACCAATATTGTTCTTAAAACATGCGATTTTAAACTGAAACTTAGGTCAGTTGGGGACATTATCTGCTCTCAGTAGTGCCTATTCTCTCAGGTATTGTTTTGGTAGCGTTTAAGAGTTTGAGAATAAAGATTAAATATAAAAAAACATAGGCTTAGTGTAAGTACAAAATTATTATTATTATTATTATTATTATTATTATTATTATTATGACATCTGGAAGTACAGACTTCTTATAACAGGTCCTCGCCAAACTCCAGGACACTTTATTTTTGTTAATAATTAAACTAAATCCTGTGTAATAGTCACAAAATTTTTATTCAGTTTAGCCAAATTCAGTTTCATTTATATAGCACCAAATCACAAAAACATGTGCCTTAAAAGTTTACAGGTGTGACCAACTGAGCCCAACAGGCCTAGTCACTCTCATTTCTACAAAGCTTGTTGGAAAAGAGATTGAATTATGCAAATATTTTGCTGGAGTAATGAACAAAATTTGGGTGACTGATCCCGTGTCCCTCATTTAAGAATACAGACATGAAGCACATGGTAATTTAGTAACACGCACACTTCCAAACCGAGAGCATTTCTTTATAGTCAGAGGACTGCACTAATCAAACAACTGACTGCACTGAGAATACTTTTACGCAGCCGTTTGTTAGATAATAGCAACTGGATTTATTTCGGGTAAGCACAAACACAACAGGACATTTGCTTTTAAAAAACACACATGTGGTATAGCTACAGTTTTTTTTTGTATGTAATGTATTGCATTTATTTATTCAAAATGTTATATCTCTTGTTGGTAAAGTCATTTTAATACAGAGTAAAAAGTGTTTATATATTGATGTAATGCTGTGTCATTACCTTAGTGGGGTATGTTTCTATGGGATTTCATATGGT